ACCAATTGTCTAGGTGTTCACTTTTTCAGTTCGGCGTCTTAGTGTGTTGGTAATGTCGTAATACCGTTGCAAGGCCTTGTTTGGTCGTTTTAGAGGTCTGAGTTCTTCGAAAAATCACGAAGTCGTTTTTCTTGAAGATCCGTGTTTTCTGTTTACAAGCCAATGTACTTCTCCCCATGGTACTGACTGTTTAACTTTGCTTAAGTTGCTCCTGTCACTCGAAACACCGCCTCCTTTTGAGGAGTCAGGCATCTGAATATGGTTTACTTTATCCCTTGATTCCTTTTTCGCGTGGAAACCGTCTGCATCGCTCCGTGGTTTTTTATTTGGTGGCGTGAATGTGTCGTACTCTTATGTAGGGGTATCGGTAATCATTGACTTCAGCCTTGCCGTAAACTCTCGACCAGGGATTCTGGCTTGATGCTTTCGCTGTGCTAGGTAATGGTTTATGCTGCATTTCTGCTTGTACTGCGGGGCGAGCAGTGGTGTCCAGTGAGAAACAATCTAGCATCAGGTTTGCTTTTGCCGTGCGAGTCCGTTCGCGTTCATCTTTGTAAGCAATATCGACTCGTGCAATGTTNNNTTTCACCAGGAGTGCTTTTGAAGGGTGAACATAGCCCATGATTTCTGCGCCGTTAAAAAACAATAAACATCAGCCGAAAGTTTCGCCATCGGCGGTTTAGACTCTTGCTAATCATCATGGAACTTACATACTAGGTTGCTTTTCGGTGTCAGTCAAGGGGTTTGAGTCGCGGAGGTGCTTTGGCTCACCGTCTCACTCACTAAATCGAGTCATGTTTAGGCCTTATGTGGTTTGCTTTTGCAAGTCCTAGAGTTTTTGAAATCGATTACAAGTGAATGGATGTAAACGAATGTTACAATATTGTCTACTCACTCTCCTGCCTTGACGAGTGTTCGGTCGTCGTAGGACTATCCATTTAGCACACTAGCATTTTCAGAAAAGGATTGGTTCACGTACCTCCGTCATATTGATTATTGTTCGAATATCTGCTATTGGTACTCATGCGGTTAAG